ATTACTTTTTTATTCTAAATTTATTTATTTTATTGGCAAATTATATATTATAAAAATATTTTACTGACTTAATTATTTATAACAAATCGGATCAGATTGTTATCGGAGTTGATTGACCTATATCCATATTTAATTCATTTAGTTAATGGATTATCGGATTCGAATCTTAATCGGGTTATCGGACTAAAAATCTGAATCCATCTTCCATTAATTTCATCGGATTCAGATCAAAATCCAATTCATTGACAACCCTATGATTGATTTATACTTATTCATATGAAATTTGATATTTTTTGGCACAACATTTATATTTTACATCATAAATCAATAGTTTGATTCAAAATTTGAATATGTTAAAAATGATTAATTAGTGGATCTTAGATGTTAAACCCAAATAACCAATAAATTATACATTCTTAAACCAATTTTAGGATAGTTTGGGGTGATTGAGTTGTTGTAGAGGTGTATTAATATGAATGTAGATTTCATGCGTGCTAAATTTTTGTGTGGATTGTTTAATGTCAATAGATGGAAATTAGGAAATAATCTTAAATTAGAGGTTGATTTTTAAGAATAAGTGCTTAATAAGGGGGATTGCACTAATCATTACATAAAAACAGAGAAAAGAAAAAGTATTATCTCTTTGTGAAACTTCTATTCGTAGCTTTTATAAATCGAGTGATTAAACTTGCAAGGATATCTAAAACTTGGTGCTTTATAATCATCCAACTTGAGGATCATCGGCCAGAAACTTGCTACAAATGTTATTTAGAAAGTTTAATGAATAAAAGTCCATACATAAGATTTTAAAAAAAAAGAGAGAAAAAAAAAAAGATTATTAAATGTCTTGATTAAGCCCACAAACACTTATTTGAAAGAATTTAAATATTTGACAATGTATTATTAACTGAGTTGATTCTTAGAGGTTGAAACAGTAAAAAATAAGGGGAATTCTCATTTGTTGATGTGTTGAGATGCACTTAATAAGATCTAACCAAATTAAAAAGAGTGATGATTAATGTATAAATTCAACGTTAGATCATACCTTGATAAAATAGTGAAAATAATAATTTGGAAGGCGTGAATCTTACGAAAGGATAAATGATTAATTTGACTACTGATGGTCAGACTTTGAATCATAGTATTCTAATCTTGATACCAAATGCAAATTATCTAACTATGTGTTTAAATTTTTTGGTTAAATTATGTTATAATTTAGTCTGAGGACAAACAAATGTTCAAGTTTGAGAGTATTTGATAAGTGTATTTTATATACTTATTTGAGCCAATAAATTATGATATTTGTTGTTAGATTTGATAAATCATAACTTAATTATGTTTGATAGGTAAAACTTGAGATGAATTGGACAAAAGGAGCGAAAAATAAACATGGTAGTGAAGTATAAAGAATAATAATTAATTTAGATGAGAAAACTTTCAAACTTTTAGTAATTAGAGAAAATACTTTATAATTGATGCTACAGTCAACCACTTAATCATTATGAGCGTATCTACTCCACTAGGATCAATGTTTAGAATCGGTCAATAATTTAAATTCAGCTCCTTAATCGAAAATATATATAATTAATTATGCAGATTATCTCTTTCTAGCCAGTTGGAAGCTGAATTTGAACTTGCAATGTGAAAAGACATTTCTTCTTAGATTCTATATCATGAGCTGATTTGACCTGCAATAATTTTCTGTTTAGGCGTGATTTGTTTTTGATTTTTTTTTGAGATTGTGTTGTTAATAATAGAAAATAGTTATAAATTTATGTCTGAAATTATTTTATTAAGAGAATATATGTTAAAAATGAATTTGAGAAAAAATAATTTTAAAGAAATCAAAATCAATCAACGTGTTAATATTTTTTTTCTCTTTTACACGAAGTCGATCTCTGCAAAATTTGTTAAAAAGGTAAAGATAAGCTGACAATAAAATGATTTGACGTGATTATACATTACTGATCAAGAGATTATACTGTCGGTGCTTGGAATATTATCTCGATAGCAAGTTTGGTCATCGAGATTTAATTTAAAAATGAATGAATTGATCTTCAAGATCTTATATAATTGTAACATTAGTCATGGCCATGTTCAAGATTTTTTTTTTTTAAAAAAGGGAAAAATAGTTAGAGCAATTGGCACGGTCATCCTCTTCTTTCCTCTTTGATATTTAGTTCATATTTGATTTAGTTTAAAAAAAATTGATAAAAATTTAAACGATAGTCAACAAGTATTTTTAAATACATATTGCATGTGATTGAACCAATTTTTCAATCAAATATTTTATCTACTTTTATTAAACTCTACTTAAAATTTGATTTTTAATTAAACCAAACAGTGCCTTTGTTTTTTTCTCAAGGTTTTCAAAGTTGCTTCTTTATCAAGTTCCGTGTTTGTTCATCCGTCAAGCTCATTCAAAGACTATTATAGTTGAAAACAGGTGAGTAATTTAGCCTGTAAGAAAATGATGGGAAGAGATGTCCTCCACTTTTTTTATACTTTAATCTCTCTTTGGTTATAAAAATTAAATTTTAATAAAAATTGATGAAGTACGTAACTGAAAAGTTAATAAAAATTGTAAGTTCATATGTGTTTTTAAAGTAATTATTGACTTTAAATTAAATTTTTATTAACTTATTTTAACTAAACCAAACAGTAACTCAAGTTTTTGGTACACGAGTAATTCCCAGTTGATGACTTGATGATTAAGAAGTTTCGAAACTGGTCTAAAGGTAATTATGTACTCACTTTCAATCTAAATTAAAGAGAGGAGTCTCGACATTTTTGGTCTTTCATTTACTTACAAATATTAGACCCATAGTGTCTAGCACTAAAGCAAAATTTTTTTTTTTTTTTGATAACCGTAAATGTCCGGGCCAGTTTGCGTGCACAAAAGCGATTATTGAAGAAGATATGCACTAACTTACCTTTCCAAGTGTGGAAAATCCAAAATCTTGACTAATCTCTCTTTTGATGGAAGACCTACCTAATCAAAATTTTAAGACTTAGTCTATTATACTACTACTTTACATGTCATGGCACACTTGAACAATTTATATTGCTCTAGAAGAGAGAAATCTCTATGAATTTATATGGTTAGACGAGAATTTGATATTATTTTTATCAAGGTATCAATTATTAGGATTACATTTTTCTTGAATATTTAGCAATTGTAGCTTTTTCTAATGGATTAAGGATCCGTTTAGCATGATTTTTTTCTTCTATTTTTTGTAAAAGAACTTTTGTGATCTGGTGTTCAACTTATAATGATGAGTATTTTGGAATGATAATACATCTATATAGGTGTGTAGAACAAGTATGGGAATACCGGAAATGAAACGAGAAAAACTAATGGAGGAGTTGAAATTTTGGTCGGGCGCTTTCAATAACCCGAGGCCAAAACCTTGGCCCGAGTGATCGTCCAAGGAAATTTTTTGACCGTCGGATTGGAAAATTTTGATTCATTTTTAGCATCTTTTCACAAGCCATTTAGCCTTTTCTTGATGTGTTGATTGAAAATTATATATAGGAGACAATTTTAACAATTGAAAACAACAAATCATTCAATTCATAGAGAGATTATCAAACTCTTATATTGGAAGTAAAACACTAGTGTTTAAGTGTTTTCTTCTTCAAGACTTGATTAATTCGACAAATCATTTGTCAGAGTTTATTTCAGCACCAATTTAATCCTAGATGAGGGAAAATATTATTTGAAGACAACGATTTCGTTTTTGAGCCTTTTTATCAAGTTTTTGGTGTTCTTGATTCTACATTTTTGCTCTTTTCTTCATTTTCTTTGAAGGATAATTTTCCAACAAGAACTTCCTTATAAAGTTAAGGATACAACTAAAATTGAGTTGGGCCAAAAATTGTTTGTGCGCAGCTCATTCATTTTGTTAATTGATAGCAATAAATATGCAAAATTATATGTACAATGTAACAAGAACTAGTTAATAACTACAACTGATAACAACGATTTTTTAGAAATTCTTTTGTATCCATTTAAAATCACTTTGTGGGTTTTCTTGATAAAAAGATGAATACTATTGTGAAATTAGAATAAATAGTTTTAAAATAAAAAAATATATTTGATCATTATTTTTAAATCTTAAATGGAGATCGCGATTTACGACGAGGGAAAATAAACCTTCAAGTGACGCTAGTATTAAAAAAAAATTAGTATCCATAAAGAGTATGAAGCCACATTTCCTTTTGCCAATTCACAAAAATGTGATGTTAAAACTAAAGGTGTTAAGTGCTACATGTCTATTCCGATCCTTCCACTGCTATGAAAAATTTTATTTACAAATTTTTTCATAATGCGGCGGTTGTAACGATCTAAACTTCGTGCATTATCATTCTCTTACATACTGTCCGTTTAAGAAAAGCCTAAGTTCATCTTACCCTTCAAGACTTTGCATCCCCCATGATTCAAATTCAAAATTTTTGCTTTATGAGAGACTTAATTAAATCCTGATACTAATTGAGTAAGTGAGCACAGAGGTCACGTTGTTACAACAGCACTCAAGCATTGCTTATATTTTACACATGAGAAGTATTTTTTCTGCACAGGGTAATCAATCTACAATGACAACGGGTCATAGCAATTCACGGTAATGGAGGCCGTTGGTGGAATCATGAAAGGATCTTAGATACCTTAAGAGCGAACTATAGAAATAAATACTTTCTCGATACACAAAAAGAGAACAAGAGTCTGCATTAAAGAATTACGATTAGCTTGTCTGATGAAGCAACCATGCCATTACAAATTTGTCATGGACCAACCATATAACATCCAAGGTTTAAAACTCAGATAGGGCAGGACTTCGATCAAGGGGTATAGGGACCGGACAAGGAGTCACTGTAACCTTCGTGCAAGAACCCTTTCTGTAGAACAGGAGGTTCCGACTGGAGGCAGCAACGCCTCCTTGCTTAATTGAAACTTGGATTTGTAGTAAATATATGTAGCATTAAAATTTGTTTAGTTTTGCTTAACCGGAACCAGTGACGAGAGACGACTGATGACTTTCAATAAGATCGACGAGAGTAATCTTTCCACAGTTGCCTGTGTCTAGAAGATCAAACTGTTGAGAAATTTGCAAGATGTCTTTCTCTGAAACCATGTTCATCTCCTTCAGCTTGTATATAACATATTCCGACTTGCTGCCATATGGCCACACAAAAGAAAATAGTTATAGATAAAAATTCATGGATGACTTGATATATTAATATAAATTACTTTATAAACTATTCGGCAACAATCATGTATTTATAGTCCCAAACTGTAAAGTTACCAAGGAGTTGGACACAAGTAATGATCTAAGTGTCTCACGTAAAATGTTATATTTAGGACCCCAAGTATTTTTCTCCGTGTCAACTACATAGACATGCACACTGGTCACAAAATCAGTAAGCTAATATTAACATACTCGGGATGTTCAGCGTAAATTGACATCAGGGGAAAAAAGGGGGGAAAGTAAAGCTTTTACAAGAAGGAATATATGTAGTAACTGAAAAATGATAAGATCAACGAGATACGATACTTTATAATTTTAGTTTTATCTTAACGATTGGGACTTTTAGGTGTTGAATCCATCTATCATGGGAGACAAATAAAAAGTCTTGAGCGGAGGACTTATCATGTCTAACACAAGGGCAATAACAAAATTCTGATAAGATGCAATTACTACATCTACATGCAGAAAAATACGACAAGCAGACAAGAGTAGAAAATACTAATGGTTGAGCTACCGTACTCAAACAACTCAAAGAACAACGACATTTTGAGCAAGGGCAATTTGATCAATATGACACCAAAAATCGGCGAAGGTAATATATTTGAACATACATGCATTTTCTAGGCTTAAAAATGCAGCAAATCTTTTCAACTTTGGGAGTAGTTACAATCCTTAAAAGTTAAAAGTACAAGGATTAGAGAGAATGTGCAGAAATAATGTCAATGATGACAAATAAGAACTGTTGTTGCTTAACAAAAATAAAATAAATGTTAACAGTTTACACAATAAGCAGTCATTATCTATTGCAACATCAATTACTAAAGTCGAATTTTTGCACCACTTATACATTGAATTGGGTTCCAGAAAATAAAATTCTATGAAATTGGCAGGTGAACTACAGAAGATTCATCTGCATGTGCATGCTATTGCCTTGGCAGGCAGAGGGGCTTGGAGAAGAAAATCAAACTCCCAATATTCTCTAATCTAATTATACATTACTAACCATTTTAACCCTGAACCCCTGCACCCACGTGTGGCCCAAAGACTGTCTCTAATCTCATTTCTCAGGGACTTTAACCACCCAAAGCTGATAATGTCTAGGACCTCGAGGTCCACACTTACGAATTACGTCTAGAAATGAGAAGTGAAAGGAACATATATTGCTCGCAGAATGCTTTCACAATGTTTTTGCTGTGCCAAAATATGAGAAATCATCATATTTTTACAACATTTATTTATCGCCAACGGCATGAAGAACTACGCTACAAGAAATATCTGCAAGGTCATTGGATCCAACATCCACTAAATAATTAACATTCTTACGTTTTAGTTGTGGACATAGACCTAAATGGAATACTGAGTAATGTCATGACTTCAACCTGACCTAATTCTTAATTACTAAATAATTAATTGGGCCATAAAGAACACCTAAGTCTCCAGCAATAGTAAGTGCAAGAGGTAATTCATTTGTCCATGAAAAGTGGATTTCATAAATTAATTCATGAATGATAGAATTTTATCCAATTCTACAGATGGAATTCAGAAAATTCAATTGAGTTAAATGATGTTTTGGGTTTTAGGAGTAATTATAATCGTGTTTATTTCTATGTCGGAATAAATAACAAGAAACTAACAAGTCAGTTCATGATAAAAATTAAACACCAATTACAAATGGGCCAACTTTACTTTCTGCCAAGCTTGTGAAATCCATTCCATATGTTTTAAACTCGGACCATTTTTTAGCTTGTCTGCTTATATAGACACTTTTGGATGTTGGATACGCCTACTTGCTGCTAAACTTTTATGGTAAACTATCCAACTAGATTCTCGAAATTCAAATAATACCAAATGCAATTTGGAGTACAAACCTCCAGACTATAGCCTATGCCAAACAGTAAAAATTTTCTGTTGCAAAAAATAATCACAATCAGAACAGCAAAAGAAAAGTGCTTACCTCACAAAACCATTGTTGTCAATGTCGGCAGCAAGAAATTGTGCGACGGTCATGCCCTGGCCAAGCACCCACTTCGCCATTTTCCTATGCCGCTTGTCGACTCTAAGCTCAGCCAAATAAAGAAATGCTCTAGCAACGGCAAGTGTTGACACAAGCAACCAAATTGATGCAAAAATTCGACCAGCCAAGGAGTTAAATGCCGTGTCACCATATCCAACAGTAGTAACCGACATAACGGACAAATAGAATGAATCTAGCCAATTCAGCCTTTCAACAAAATGCATGACGCTAACCCCTATTCCAATACATAGAACCACAACACCTAATGCTAACGCCACCTTCATCCGAATCCTCATCCTCCCCTTCTTCACATCAATTATATAAGACCTAGGATCATGCCCTCCCCCTCCTTTAATTGTCCTCAAAAGATAATTTTCTTGCAAATCCAGCGTATAACTAACCATCCCAGTAAGCAAAATATCAATAAAACCAAACCCCACAAGCACAAACATAATAGAAAACAACTTGGTTGCAGTACTAGCAGGGGTTATATCCCCATATCCAATTGTACACATAGTAACAATACAAAAATACAAAGCATCAACTACAGGATGTGTCTCAGTAGCCCTAAAGTCATCCCTATTAAAAGAGTATATAACCACACCAAGAGACAAGTATATGATCAAAAGAACAACGCCTTGTCTTACAATTGATGATTTACTAGACTGGGGTTTCTCCGAGTCTTGTGAACAGTCAATTTCATTGATTGCAGCCATGGCAGGTGCAGTCCTGGACCTATGGAGGTTACTCTTGGACCTTGTATAATTGGGATCAATCAACCAAGACTGTTTATTTACTAGATCAACATTCGATACATGAGGTTCAGTATTAATTCTTTCATTATCGAGACTTGATTTTGAGGGCTTGGGAGAGTTGACACTTAAGGTTAAGGCATCAAGAAGGGTCGAAGAGGAAGAATCTATAAGAGGGGACGATGCATAAGTGGGGGATCCAAATATGAGCCTTTCTTTGAATTCTTTTGCAGATGGGGTGATGGGCAACGTTGGAATGGTAATTTCATTTTCTTCAGGTAAAGGGCAGAGTGAGACTGGCGGTGGTGGTGGCGGCGGCGTCGGCTGCGGCGACGATTGCGGCCATCTGGTGTTGACAAAAGGGAGTAGAGGCTCTTTCTCCATGTGGGTTTCCAATTTAAAAAAGTGATTTTGGGTGGCAGGAATAAACCGAGATACGGTGTTTCCGGTGGTTTTATGAACGGAGCGGCAGATGATGTTTCCGTAACGATTGGAAGTGACTATACCAAAATTCGTCTTTTGATTGATACAAGTAAAAAAAAGAAGACAAAATATTGCAAGAAAGACGGAGAACCCTTAGGACGTGTTTGACAGAGCAGAAAAGGAGAAAAACGAGTACGAGGATATAAAATACTAGGAAACCAAACACGACCTTATCCCTTTGGTTCGAGATTTTCCAGACGAATCTATCATAGAAAACAGTTCATTATGTCATTTCTTTTAAGTCCCAACACGGTGAGTATTTAATTTAATTTATTAAAGCTTAAATACGTAGCAATTATGATGCGTTTGAATTTAATAACAAAAGCAATAATAGTTATAATTATTATTTGACTTGAACAGACTTTCTCTATTCAATTTAATTATTTGAGCTAAATTCAAAGAATTGAGTCAAAAATCAATTTCTTTCTGAAAGTTATGGTACAATATACTTTTGAACAACTCCATTGACGTCTTTGTACGTTGACTAAATTTCTGGATATTGATAATTAATATATGTATGTATAGGTCCCATTATGATGATATCAAATTTTAAATTTATTTTTTAACTGTATAGAACTTCATATTTTTTCCATCCAAATTCCATGCTCGCAATTAATTACAATTCATTTTTACTTATTGGAACATCATATGCAGCACAAGAAATTTGGAGTGTTTAGACAAAATATATGGAGTAACATTTTACGAAATAATATTAAAAAAGAAAAATAAAATGGAGCATAAATCACTATCCGTGTTTGTTGATGATTCTGATGAAAATCAATATTTGTCGATGATGTGAGCCAAATTGTTGAGAATAATATTGTCAATGCTTGTCGGTGAATAGTAATGCATCTCTATACTCTAAGTGGTTCAAAACAAAACTCAATACAAGTCCATATCATGAATGCACGATCTCCGTCAACACTTGTAAATGAAAATATTTGTCGGCACTTTGATTGCTCAAGAAAAATGAGATATAAAATGTGTTTGAAGAAACCGGGTTGTCCATATGGGTAATCCAAAATCAAATTTGAAACTTAGAGCCTGTTTGGTAGGGATTCTCATTTTCTACAGTAAATCAATTCTCATTTTCAACCACACATTCTTCAATAAAATAATATTTTCCATCACATCAATAATTTTTTCTTCTTTTTCAACCACACATTTCACATCATATCACTATTAGTAAATCAATTCTCATTTTCAACCACACATTCTTCAATAAAATAATATTTTCCATCACATCAATAATCTTATCTTCTTTTTCAACCACACATTTCCCATCATATCACTATTCAAAATCAATTCTTCCCCCAAAAAAATCCCTACCAAACAAGCTCTTAATCTGCCCCAATCAATAACTTCCTTATGCACCCACTCCACCAAAAAAAACACATCATACATGCAAAATTCGGGTTTCCATACTGAGAGAAAAATATATGAGTGTGGTGGTTTGATTTTGGAAGTAATTGGTTCTTGGATTGTAGATATCAAATTCATTCATTTGTGATCGATTTCTGACCAAAGAGTGAATATAAGTCAGAATAGAAGACAAACAAACCAAAAGCAAGTGATTTAACATCTTTTTGAAATTTCAAGTTCTACAACTTGAAATTCAGTTAGAAGCATGACAACACGTTTTATATTGATATCAGAGCGCAAGTAAATAGTTTTCTTGCTTAAAAACATGTTGAAAATGGTTAAGAATAATCGAAATGCATGAATTTCATTTTCTTCCAAAAGCTTTTAATATTAGTAATGACAACTTTTGATATAATTCATATAAATTCATGAAATTTATACCATATGTTCTGATATTATGTAGAACATATCCAAAAAATTTCATTGCGTTTGGATTTCTATTTAGGGAGAAAAATCGAACATTAGTTTAGAAAATCGAAACTTCATCGCATGATAACTTATTGTACGCGCATTAGGTTTCACACTACCCATTTGGTATAGTTGGATACATCTTCTTGAGACCTTTTCAACGGTATAAAGTACATTAATTTTGGCCTATAGTTGAAGTAATAACCTTCCAAAGTTATAAAAAACAATTGGGAAATTTGCCTTTTTTTAAGATGAACAGTTACCATTTTTTCAAATTTCAGTTTCAGTCGGTTCTATTTGTGTCCGAAACACAGCCTTAAAAATTGATGTTGTAAAATATGTCCACACAGATGAACTCATAACGTTAATGGTGCGTTTGATTGTCATGAAATTTGTATGAAAAGAAAATATTTTTCACGTATTGAATTTCTTGGAACTTATTTGCATGGTATTTGTCAATTAAATGTGTTTGATTGGCTTAATTTTCAACATATAAAATACTTTACTTTTCCATCTTTTCGTGTTTGATAGCCATAAAAATAATCATTTTTTCCGACTTTTGTTGTTTGATAGCCATAATATTCCATGGAAATGGTCACTTTTTCCATGAAAATTGTCATTTTTTTCCATAAAAATTATTCAATCAATTTTTATTTGAATAAAGAAATATATTTTAAAATATACTTGAAAATTGTTATTTGAATGAATATAGAAGTGTACGTCACTTGCGATTTTGGCAATGATAAGAATTAAAATCGGAAGAATAGTTAATATTGGAGACAATTTCTCTACTCAAAATCCAACCAAATTAATTGACTATGTAATTTCAATCGTAGTTCACAAGAATCAAAATCGTAGTTCCAATAGTGATTGGAATTCCAAGATGAGTCGATAGAGCACCCCTTTGAAACTCATTAGCCATATGATCCAATTTTCAGCAGAAGCCTTCAGAGGAAGCTCATTGCCTCCACCAACCAAAAGACTCTCAGCCAGTTCAATACTTTATAAGATGCTAAATCATGTTCAAAGAAAAATAAAAGAACAAATAAGCTCATGAATATTTATATATATCAGGAAAGATAATACAACAAGCAAAAATAGAAACTTTCAAAGGCCACCAAAAGAAAATGGAAGGTATGGAAAATCAGAAAAAAAAAAAAAAAAAAAAAGAAAGAAAGAAAGAATGCTTCAATGCCCTGATCGACTGCCTCTCCAGAGGAGGAAGGCGAAGGAGTAATATGCTTATGCTTTTGATTGTAGTGAGAATGAGAGGATAAGGGAGGCCTCCGACAAATGTCCATATTCTTCCGATTGCTGGTTTGAAGGAGCCCTCTTGCGAATGGACTCTTCCGATTGCAGGTTTGAGAGAGAAGTTGAATGACCTTCTTCTTTGTTGGGTGTGTTTATGAGAGAGAGAGGGTGGTGGGTGTAGTGGTGTCAATGGGCCGAGTCGAGCCGGCTCGGCCCTTAAGGCCACGAGCTCGTGAACTAACGAGCCACGAGCCGAGTGGCTCGGCTCGTGGTTTGTTTGATTTTAATTTTTTTTGTTTAGTTTTCTTTGTTTTTTTTACGAGCTCGTGGGCACCACCCACGAACACTCGTGTATTTCACGACGAGCAGGCCGCTTGGCTCGTGGCTCGTGCTCATCTTTTCATGGGCCGAGCGGCCGAGCCAACGAGCTGCTCGGCTCTTTTGACATCACTAGGTGGGTGAAGTGGATGAGAGAAGGCGACGTGAGTGACTAGGAAAGAGAAGAATAAAAAAGGAATTATTCCAAAAGAAAATATTTTTCTTAATTTTGAGGAATATATGATCATATGACTAAAAATAAGAAAACATTTTCCATGGAAAAAATGTCAATCAAATAGCGTCAAAATAGGAATTTGGCTGGAAAAAAAACATGTTTTTCATGAAAAATATTTGACATCAAACACACCCTAAAATTAATCGGAAAGATGAACGGAGAATTTTTTTGGGATCGAAATGACGCATCGCGATTGTGTGTGTATGTCTTTTATATATATATATAAATTGAGAGAGAGAGAGAGAGAGAGAGAGCAGAAACCTGTTTTGACAAGTGACATTCCTATATCAATTTGGAAAATTGCATAGTGGTCCCAAAACTAATTTTGGACATTGATTACTCCAATATGAATTTGGAAAGTTGTATGTTGGTCCCTAAAATATTCTTGAATTAAAAGTTAATTTTCAAATAACCAAAAATATTTTTTAATTATTTTATTATTGCAATAAATTTATAAAAAGTATTAAATTTTTTTTTTTTGACTTGATTAAATTCTGAATTTTTTTATAAAAATTAAGAATAGTAGTTAAGTGATATTTCTCTAGTGAGAGTTATTGTTTAAGTGCTTTCATTTTTTTAAAAAAAAATGAAAGATACTCCAAAAATATTTAAAATACCACGTTTTATATTATACGTTCATAGGTTGTGTGAGTCTTGATTATGTTATGTGGTCCATTGTGATTAGTTTCAATTTTTTGTGCTTGATCATATATGGCTGGATCTATGTGCACTTTTATCATTTTTAGAGGAGATGTTAGTAAATCACGGGTTGTGGAATGTGTTGAAAATTATATGCTTATCGAAACTATGAAACTGATTTACGACATAACTTAGTACAACACATAAAATATCTCGAAGCAATCCGTCGAGAAGTGATGCATTTGGGACATATTGTGTGTGAGATGGAGAGTATGTATCATCTAATAACGACACTTCCTAAACATTGCATGATATTGCTATTGAAGTTCTAGATAATTCACTACATCTATGCTACATCTATTTGATAAGGATCTTGACGAGGAAATGGAATTCAGAAAATGAGAGATGACACTTCCTAAACATGGCATGATATTGCTATTGTAGGTCTGGATAATTCACTACATCTATGCTACAACAATCTGAGCAGGATTTTGATTAGGAAATGGAATGCGAAAATGAGAATTTTATAATTAATTTATATATGTTTTGTTATTTCATATTGTTGAACAATATCTATATAATGATCTTTTCACGTTTAGTAATTGCATAAAAAAATTTAATATGATTT